TGAATTTATACCGCAACTTCTCATTATTAAGTTGCTTCTTTTTCACAAAAAAATAAAAGATAAAATAAATGCCTGAGACATCATATTGATTCATTATTTTATATTTTTTATCCAAAAAATAAAAATCCTACATTATCATAAGTTTTAAACCAATTATTCAGAAAGTAAAGTATAATCCATAAAATTTTAAGTCATAGTTCATAAATATAGCTAAATATTCCTTAAAGTAAATACCTTTCATGTAATCAATCCTAGTTAAATTACAAATTTATGATAGAATTATACCTTGCTCTGTCACACTACAATTTGTAAGAAAATATTTATTATCTAATCCCAATCTTTTGTATGAATTTATTATTCCTTTATAAATAATATATATGTTGCTTCCTACTTGAGCTATAATAATAATAATAATAATTGATTAATCTAATTAAATTCCTAAACTTAGGAAATTTATAGCTCAATCATATGTAAGTAAAAAATTACAAGTATAGTCTCTGTAGATTCAAGTTTAAAAAATTAAGTGATCAAAAAGACATTAAATGCTTTTAAATTTTCATAAGTACTTCCTGAATAGTGATATCTTGTCGATAATATTTCTACTTTAACAATATGACATCTTATAATAATTATTTTATAAACTGGATATTAATTTTATAAAAAAATATTATAGCTTTTTAAACGTGACTTATATATCCATTCAAATTTTGTTTAAATAAAATCTTAAGTTAATGCATTGATTAATAAACTGATACAGAGAATAAATTAAGTTTAACTTATATTAATTATTATATTTATTTATATTTTCATAGACTAAAAATCAGATTTTATTCATTCAATTTTATTCATTAAAAAATTGAATTAGTTGAATAAATAAATTTGTATTTGATAATCTAATTCTTTGGTTTTTTATTTTTAAAAAGAATTATTTATAATCTGAAAAAACGTAATTTCATGTTTCATGAGTGGACAATTTTTTTTTTTCTAAAAGATAGAAAAATATTGTTTTAGAAATATTTCTATAAATCTTAATAATTTTTTATTTGGAGGGAGCTTTGATTACTTGTGTATTCTTGCGCATGTTTATCAGCTAGATAATTAGAGTTTGTTCGGGACAACTTTCTCACTGTTTTGCATTTCATACTGCAATTAGAGTTTTATTTGCCTACTATTTTCTCGCTTCTTTCAAAAAAATTTATGTGCTTGGAAACAAATTTTTATAATAGCTTTCAAACAAGATATTTCCCGACAACAATATTATAACCACTTTTAGAATAAGCTACAACCATTCGTTTATAGTTACAAGCAACCCAATGGATCATAAGCACATACAAACAAAACAACAAAAATAATGAAATCTATGAGTTTTATTGTTCAGTTGAATGTAATTAAAATCATGAAAAATTTGCTATAAATTAATCCTTAGAAAAGCAAAAAAAAAAAAAAATCTGGTCTGTTTATAACAATTTTTTTATTGATTTGTTTTTTAGATCGCGGCCACAATTCTGCTTTGACATTACTTTCTTCTTTCCAAAAAAAATTTGTGCAAGTTTCTTTTTACCAATACTTCTCATAAAAGCTTTACAACAGTCTTTGCCAAAAAGTTGTAGATGCTTGACCCTTAATCTTTATTTTTTAATTTTGAAGAAACAAATCTGTGAATGCATTGTTTGGTTGTCTATGTTACTTATGGGTGTAAACAAGTCGAGTCAAGCTCGAGCTATTAATGAATGTAAAATTTAAAGGATCTCATGCACTTTCATTAACATTAAGATTGAAGTTTTAAAATCATTACCTTATTTTAGGGGTTGTTCATCATAAACTACACTTTTTTTTTTCTTGCATTTCATTTTGATTGACATGGTATATTTATATACATATTTAAATTCAAAATAGTAAAGAAATTTTAATGAAAACTATTTAAATAGTTACATTAACTCTCATTCCTTTTGTATTGTGTGAGTAAATGCGCAATGCATAAATATGGAAATATTTAGTAGATAGATAACATATAATGTGACAAAAGTTTGAGTATTATCTAAGGAATAAATTAAAGTGGTAATCAAAACATATATGGAAATATTTAGTAGACAGATAACATATAATGTGACAAGTACACATGCGAATTAGTCAATGAAATAAATAATTAAAGATATTATGGCCATTAATATTGGAGTTAATTGTATTTATTAAATTTCCACATCAATCTTTCCTATTTATCGTTAATTATTTACATATTTTTCTTTCATATATTTATGTCAATTACAGTTTTCCGAGAAGATCATTTTAAGAGAAACAAAAAGGATTCATATATTCTAATTGATTTTTTGTCACAAATTAAGTGTTTAGAATTCTTTAATTTATTTATGATGAGTTTAATAACTGAGAATAAAAAATTAATTTTAATATTTTGTTTATCTTAAAATAGTTTTTCCTTAATCACCTAAAGAAAAATTCTTAAACTTTTTAGGGGACAAAAGGATTTTTAGAAATTACATGCTTATAATAAAAATGAACATCTTAATACGAGGAATCTACTTAGTCCAAGATTATTCAATTCAAATATTATCCTTAAATCGCTAAGTAATGCTCCACTTTCAAGTAAATAAACACAAGCCATTAGATTGAGGTTTGGCTTGGAACGAACTTTTATTTGGTCCGGTGAACGTACGCTCCTCTACGTTCGGCCACCAATATTTTAGCGACACGTAGCATGAAGAAAAGTCGCCGACCCGACCTGCTGTTTTTTGGGTTCTAGCGCGTGCGTTTTTTTAAATCCTTGACGAGCCGAACAACATCACATCACCTTTTGGATATATTTCAAATACCTAGCAAATACCGAGTTGTACCTAGTTTTTTCTAGCAATACCGAGCAAATACCTAGCAATACCGAGCAAATCCCTAGCAACACCGAGCAAATCCTGAGCAAATACTGAGTTGTACCGAGTTGTACCTAGTTTTTTATAGCAATACCGAGCAAATACCTAGCAATACCGAGCAAATCCTTAGCAATACCGAGCAAATCCTTAGCAAATACTGAGTTGTACCTAGTTTTTTCTAGCAATACCGAGCAAATACCTAGCAATACCAAGCAAATCCTTAGCAATACCGAGCAAATCCTGAGCAAATACTGAGTTGTACCGAGTTGTACCTAATTTTTTCTAGCAATACCGAGCAAATACCTAGCAATACCGAGCAAATCCCTAGCAATACCGAGCAAATCTTGAGCAAATACCGAGTTGTACCGAGTTGTAGAAAAACTTGGTACAACTCGGTATTTGTATAGTTTTGGTCTTCACAGAGCGGTATTTCTCGTTCTTGCAAAGCAATACCGAGAAAATCGCGAACATAGCATTCCCGGGTTCCGCTCCGGGTCAAGTCGTCGGGCCGCGCGGTAAAGAGTAAGAGCACGTGGCGACATGTTGTTGGCGGCCGAACGTACCTCTACGTCAGGTTAGAGGACGTAATAATTGTTCGTTTGGAACGGTTTTCTTCTACTTTTTAAAGCACTTTTTTAGTACATAAGTTTTTTGAACTAAAAATTCGTACAATAAGCTATACTAAAAAGCAGTAAGAAACCTGACTCAAACGAAGCCTTAATGTTAATATATAAATCCTTATTTTTCAAACAAAAGGGAGTAGCAATTAGAGATAGCTTAGAGTTTCTTCTTCTTTATCTCCTTCTCCCATTAAATAAAGAAGCATTGGAGGATTTGCTATGAGCATGAAAATTTTGTTAAACTAATCACATATAACTCAGGGCACATTAATAATTGCTTTTAAAATCCTTGAGCTAGAATCGTCTTATTTTTGTTTGATTATGTTATAGCTTCGTACCTGATAATACTGTCATAATAATGAGAGAGAATTGCTTTTGCATTTAGTTTGGAGATTATGTATACCATAGGAGAGAGATTTGCTTTTGCACTTAATTTGACGGTTACAAAGATCCATATAGAGAAGAAAATGGATAGAGCGGTATTTCAAGATTTAACTTTTTGTATAAAATGATTGCTCTATATACAGACCCTTAATCTCTCTTTTGTCTTACTCTTTCTTTTGTTTTTTTATGGTTACCTGCCAGTCTTCATGATTTATACGCATCCAGTCGTTCATCGGTTGGAATGATGATAAATTGTGTGATTGATTCAGGCTTCTTAGATGGACATACTTCTTTTCGTTCCATTCTTGAGGCCTTTTCTATGGCTTACCCTTCGGTGGTGTTTCCTTAACTTGAATCCACTACTCACTGTCGCTTGCCTTCACTCTAGATTTCAGAGGAGGAGGTTTTCGCTTTGGTGGAGCCTTTTGAGTTTTCTTTGATTGGTTTTTTTCCCGGCCCTAGACCCATTATCAATGCCATTATTAAATTCTTTTCAACCTTTAGCTCATTAGTAAGTTCTCAGTTACTCTGTTAAATCCTAAGCATGTTTTGATTAAGTTGGGAAATGATTTAGACTATAGTATTGTCTTCTCTCATTGTTCTTCTTTCATGAACAACTATTTTATGAAGTTGTCAAAATAGTATCACTTCTTTTATGTCAACATTTAATCTCTAGTCATTCCAATTTGGATTTCCTTCCCTAACTTGTGCCTCCATTTCTTTTATCCTCGTATCCTTCATGGTTTGAGGGCTTTGCTTGGTAGACCAGTAAAAACAAACAATGCCACTATTGTTGGTTTGCATCCTTCTATTGATCCCGTTCTAGTTTAATTAGTCATTACCAAATGCTATCCTAGTCGTGTTTGGCTTGGTCCTAATAAATTCAAGTATGTTCAATTTGTACAAATGGAAGAGTTTCCTATTTTTTGTGTTCATTGTAAGTCGCTTGGCCATTCGATCAAATTTGAATTGTCCTTTCTTGTATCATAATCTTATTGTGAACCTTGTGAATGTTACTAATAGAGTTGTTGTCCCCGCTAATGATAAAATGCGTTAAACTACGGCTGGTCTGGCACATATTGTTTTTCCTAATAATAATTCTTTTGTCAATAAAAAGGATGATAATGTTGCTTTTTGTGTAAATAACCTTATACCTTCTCCCTTTCTGTCTATTGATTCGAATCATGGTGTTGGTGTTTATGCTGATATTGCCATAGTTGATTTGGGTTTAATTACTTCTCACGATACTATTGTGGTAATGCTGGAATTGGGGGAGGGTGTTTTGGCTTCTAGAGTGGTTAGGGAGGTTGGCATTGTCGTGGTTGCTAATTCTTCAATTGTGGTTGTTGAGCCTCTAGCGGGTTCTATAGGCCCCATGAAAGATCATAAGAATATAGCCCATAGTTTGTTCCATGATAAGTTGGATGCGATGAACATGGGGTTTTGTGATGTTTGTTACAACTCAAGCTCTCGAGTTTAAATTTTTTATGACAACAAATATTATTGATTACCTATTCATTTCTCCTAGTATTTATAGTGCATTTTTGTTTGTGTGTATACTAACATTTTTGTTACATCATGCACATACAATTCAATGAAGATTCATAGCTCAAGATTCGGTAGAATAAGGTATGTTTAAAGAGGTTATAGTATTCTTTTATTTATTTTAATTTTTTGACTAAATTATTATATGGGTGTATACTAGATTGGTGACCATGCACACACTCACTTAAAGTGTGAGATAGCAAGAAAATTAGAAGTATACTTTTTTTAAACTAATCATATTGTACAATAAATATCATGTGGTATAGTTAACTATTTAAATAATCATTAAAATGAAAGTTCGTTCGGGATGTTAAGCCCTATGAACTTAGTCCACAGCTAACCAAGGGCGAGGGGGGGGTGAATTGGTTTTTAAAAAATTCTTAGAGACAAAGAAATAAATTCACAAACCAAATCACACCACCAAACCAAATGCGGAATTTTAAAAAGTGCGGAAGCAAAAATAAGAACACAAGATTTATAGTGGTTCGGTCGAGCTAGACCTACGTCCACTCCTTGAGGCACCCTCCAAGAGTATTGCACTACACAAATGTGACTCTCCTTTCCCCCACAGCTAGGCGGAGAAGCCTCACAAGAAACTCCTTTTTCGCACCCGGCAAGGCAGAGTAACCTTCACACTCCCATATTTTGCTTCCTTCTGAAGCTGGCAGAGAAACCACAACACAAAAAGCAAAACTCACTTACTCTACTCAGACCCTTCCACGAGACGAGAAACTCAGAGAAAGAACAAGCGAGCGAGTCCTTTTTGAGTGAAAACCATAAATACCCTTGGTGAATCCCCTTCACAAGCTCACCCTCGAACAAGATTCTCTCTCTCTCCCTCTCTCTATCTTTACTCTCCTCAGGTCTTTCTTCAGAGTCAATGGCAGCAGCCAAAGGTCTCTTAAAAAACGTTGATAGTGAAGAGGACTCTTATTAATAGATGGAGAGCTCAAGAGGGTCTATTTAATTGCAAAGTAGACGATTATCGTCCCGGCCGGATTATGGACTGGCGGGCCGTATTAGTACAATATCCTAAGGAAGATCGGTAACCAGAGCAAGCTAAACTGTAAGTCGTGGACGATTGAAAATTATGGCTTGATCGTCCAAGGCCGAGTTACGATCGTCCTGTCCGATTAGTTTCAATCAGTAGGTAAAATAGTCTGGTAGCAAAGCCCTGGAACTAGTCCTAGGCAGATTGAAATTTGGCTTTGGAAAATCGTCCAGGGCCGGATCTACACGATCGGGTCCTGGTAACGATTATGATCGTATATCAATGCGACGTTAAATTAACTCTTTAATTTCTCTTCGATCAATTAAAGGCATAATTTCATAATTTTCGGTCCAGGTCCGTCCTGGAAATCGTCCTGGACTGATAATTTTTAAAGATTCAAGGGTATGCCTAAACTTTGGTCTACGGGCGGCTATCTTTCTTTCTATTTTTGAGCTTTTCGTCCTGGCCGTAACTATCGTTGCCAGGGCCGATATTTTTAATGTTCGGTTGCTATAAAAGAATCCTATTAGACTTTGTTTTAAAGTGATGTTACGGAGATATAAATATCGCCGGCGGATGTGGGGGAAAAAACAGAATTTTCTAAGGCTCTCAAGGAGTTTGTGTGTGTGAGGGTTCTTTTAGCATCAGATGAGAAAACTTTACAACAAAGTTGAGTTGATTATGAATTATTTACTTAAGAATTATTTTGACAAACATCAATTGATAACCGAAGAGTTTTTGGACTTTACAAAATATCTACTGATTACTAATTCTTATGTTTTTCATGTCGCTTGTTGAAC